ATTTTACACTTATGAAACCAACAGTATTGTAGATCTGAATGCGCCTTGGGGAAGTCAAGCAGGAAGTGAACTTTATAGTGTTGGTAATGAAGTATCTATACGTTATGTGGCAACGGTTATTTCTAATACTGGAGTTGTGGATGCTCAAAATGTGCAAGCAAAGATAAATTATACCATGCACTATAATTAAATTTTTTATGTTGGTTTTAGTGGTGAGGCATAGATTTAATGATGATTGAGCAACTTAAAAATAATTAAAACTTTATAAAGGGGTATTTGATGAAGAAACTGAGTTTAGCAACATTGAGTACTTTAACTTTGCCATGCACAAGTGTATTTTCAGTAGATGGAACCATTACGTTTGATGGAGTTATCACCGATTGAACATGTACATTACAAGGTCGTAATAGTGGTGTAAGTGGTTTAAAAGATATAACGATTACCTTACCTACTATGCCCAAATCAATGTATGAATTTGCAGTAGGAGTATTGGGTCTTCACTTAAGAAATGCTACAGGTACGGGTCCTTGTGATGTAGCTACAAGTAAAGCCTTTAAAGGGATCCATCTCAGTGTAACGTCACCAGATGAGGACCTAGATGCAACCGTTAAAACTTTATTGGTCAATAAAGCCCGTGGCGCAGGTGGTGCTTCTAGTATAAATCCTGTTTTTGTCTATTTTTACAGGTTGAGTCCTACTGAGTTGGTGGATTTTTCTGCACCATGGGGAGATCAAGCGAGAAGTCCAGTTTATACGGAGGGTGGAGAAACTTATCTAGTTTATGGTATCGGAATGTTTTCTAAGACTAGGATTGTCGATGCTCAGAATTACACGGCAAAGATAAATTATACATTGCACTATAATTAATTTTTTGTGTTGGTTTTTGTAGAGAAACATAGGTTAGCTGGTGATTCAGCAACTTAAAAATAATTAAAACTTTATAAAGGGGTATTTGATGAAGAAACTGACTTTAGCAACATTGAGTACTTTGGTTTTAACTTTGACATGTAGCAGCGTATTTGCTGTAGATGGGAGCATCAGAGTCAATGGTGTTGTGACTGACCAAACCTGTACCTTACAAGCTGGCTCTAGTGGGGTAAGTGGTTTGAAAGATCTAACAATTAGCTTGCCCACTGTGCCTAAATCAAGATTTAGACCTGGAGTTTCACAAATAAGAATGGGCGTACTGTTGCACTTAAAAAATGCTACGGGTACAGGTACTTGTGATACAGCAACAACGAAAGCCTTTCAAGGGATACATCTCAGTACAATTTCACCACCAGATGACTTAGATGCAACGGATAAAACTTTATTGGTCAATAAAGCTACAGATGCTCCTACTAAAAATCCTGTTTTTATTCAAATAAGTACTGGACATCAGACCGTTGTGGATCTTTCTTTGCCTTGGGGATCTCAGTCGAAAAGTGACGTTTTGGGCGTGGAAAATCGTTTCGTATTTTACCAAGTAGCATATATTTCTAAAACAGGAATTGTAGATGCTCAAAATGTACAAGTAAAAATTAATTATACATTGCACTATAATTAATTTTTGGTATGTGGACTTTAGCTGGTAAGCATAGGTTTGCTGATGATTGAGAAAATTAAAATTTAAAAAAACTGCAATTCATTGCGGTTTTTTGTTTTATCGCTAGGCTTGTTTCATCAGCCCTTTAGCCCTTTTTAAAAGCATAGATCAATATAAAAATCCCTTTCATCTTCCCTTTTTTGCAAATAGAGAAGGCACTTTGAATAGCAATATGATTTACGACACACGATTATTTTTGATTGATGAACGAAATCGATTGAATATCATTTTATAAAAAATCATAAGTGCTTTAATGAATATTCAATCAATGATGTTGATGGGTAATACTTTGGATACGTATAGAAGATCTTAATAAGGAAGCTGGATGATGAGGTCATTTATATGATTGCAAAATGATAAAACATATTATTTTAGTCGGGTTAAATCTATAATGAGAAAAATGATTTTATTGATGTTTAGTCATATTTTGACATGTTGTAAATGGTGTTTAAAACTCAAATAAAATTAAATTTTTGATCATTTGTTTTATTTATTATATTGATTTTTAATAATAAAATTTATACATGATTTTATGTAATGTATTTATATGATAAAAAGTAAACTTAAAAATATTGTGATATGCGGATATTTTTGTCAGCATGGAGTTTTATTTTAAATTGTCGGAAATTTAAAATAAAAACATCTATTAAAATAGACTCTAGCTTGAAATAAGCAGAGGCTTAGAGTTAACAGCAACAGCGTTTATATATTTAGATCTATCTATTTTCGTTGAAATTACCATGTCTCCTAATGTGAATCACAGCATCGTTAAATTATCGCATTTATTAAAGCTTTATAAGGCTGATTCAATGAATAAACTGACTTTACCCACATTCAGCACTTTGCTTTTAACTTTGGTATGTACCAGCGTTTTTGCTGTAGATGGAACCATTAGAGTCAATGGTGTTATTACTGATGGGACATGTATATTACAAGGTAGTAGTGAGGTAAGCGGTAATAAAGATCTAACGGTTACCATGCCCACTGTATCTAAATCAAATATTGGTGGAGCGTCAAGGAAAATTGTGATGGAGTTAAGAAATGCTGATGGTACAGCTAACTGTGATGCCACAACAAGTAGTGCCTTGCAAGGTATACATCTCAGTGCTTCACCAACTGACTTGGCTTCATATGATAAGACTTTATTACTCAATAAAGCTACGGGGGTAGGCGGTGCGTCTACTGCCAACCCTATTTTTATGCGAATAGAGACTGATAAGGGGGTTGGTCTTGCTAGGCGGGTAGATTTTTCTGCACCTTGGGGAACACAGGCGAAAAGTTATGTTAATCAGTTTCGTGGCCGTACATGGATTACTTACTATGTAGTATATTTTACCTGGAATTGGATTGTTGACGCTCAAAACGTCACAGCAACTATAAATTATACATTGCACTATAATTAAATTTTCCTCTGTTGTTTTTGGTTGGGAAGCATGCGTTTACTGAAGATTGAGCAATTTAAAATGATTAAAACATTATAAAGGGGTTATTCAATGAATAAACTGACTTTAGCCACATTGAGTACTTTGGTTTTCACTTTGCCATGCACAAATGTATTTGCAGTAGATGGCACCATTACGGTTAATGGTGTTATCACTGATGGAACCTGTACATTAAAAGGTGATGGTGGTTATATAACTGGTTTGAAAGATATCGTATATCCATTAGGTATTGTACCTAAATCGTGGTTTACGCCTACACTTCCAGTGCCAATGCGTTATGGACTTACTCTACAGTTAACCAATGCAACAGGTACAGCTCACTGTGATGTGGCAACAAGTAAAGCATTAAAAGGAATACATTTGAGTACAATTTCACCAGATGATTTGGATGAGACGGATAAGACTTTACTCGTGAATAAAGCCAAAGGTGCGGGTGGTGCTTCTGCTAAAAATCCTGTTTTTATTCAAATGCAGACTGAAAACAGTAGACCTGTAGATTTTTCTGCGGCTTGGGGAACTCAGGAGAAAAGCTTAATGCGTATCCGTGCTGATGGTGAAACATATGTATATTACATAGTCGCGGTTGCTTCCAAAACGGGGATTGTCGATGCTCAAAATTTCACGACAACGATCAATTATACCTTGCACTATAATTAAATTTTGTGTGTTGATTTTATTGATGAAGTTTAGGTTTATTGAGGGTTGAGAAAATTAAAACTTATTCAAATCTTATGAGATGTATTGAATGCAGAAACTGACTTTAGCCACATTGAGTGCTTTGGCTTTAAGTTTGACATGTAGTTGCGTGTTTGCTGTAGATGGAACAATCACCGTCAATGGTGTGGTGACGGACCAAACATGTACATTAAAGGGTGATGGTGGTTTTGCAACTGGCTTAAAAGATATAACCGTTGACTTGGGTACTATGCCTAAATCAAAGTTTACACCTACACTTCCAGACCCAAGGAAGCATGGATTTACTCTGTACCTCACAAATGCTGCAGGTACTGGTGCCTGTGATGTAGCAACAACGAAAGCCTTTCAAGGGATCCATCTCAGTGCAATTTCAGCAAATGATTTGGATGCCACAGATAAGACTTTATTGGTTAACAAAGCTATAGACGCTTCTACAATCAATCCTATTTTTATTCAAATTTCTAGCATTAATGGGGTAGTAGATTTTTCCGCACCTTGGGGAGTTCAAGCAAAAAGTCCAATTTATACGCTTGGAGATGAAACGTATCTACAATACGATGCAGTGCCTGCTTCCAAGACTGGAATTGTCGATGCTCAGAATTACACCGCAACGATAAATTATACAATGCACTATAATTAATCTTTTGTATCTGTTGGCTTAAGTAGATAATCATATATTCGTTAATGCTTTAGAAAATTAAAATTTAAAAAAACTGCAATTCATTGCGGTTTTTTCGTTTCTGCTTCGTCATATAACTTAGAACACATGAAAACACAGATTATTTTAACTGAGTGAAGTTAATGATTATCATTTAACCTTGGGTGGGTAGAGAATGTCTCAATCTTTATATCAGAATGCAATAAAGCCTGTTGCGTTGGCTGTTGCAATCGCACTCTCTATGAGTGCAATCAGTATACAAACGCATGCAAATAATGCTTCGCCTGTTGGCTTTTATCAAGTGCAAAGCGGTTCATTAACCCAAGCTTTAAATAGCTTGGCACAGCAAGCCAATGTATCCTTGTTATTAGATCCTGCAAAAACCAATCGTTATCGGGTAAAGACGATGAAGGGTAAATATACCCTAGATCAAGCTTTTGCATTATTGGTGCAAAATACCCCATTCCAGATTCAAAAAACTTCCGCAGGTTATCTACTCATTGAAAAGTCTACTGCGGCACAAACGTCTGTAGTCAATACAGCAAACACTGCAACAGGAAAAACAGCAACGGGGAAAACAGCAACATCATCCACAAGTGCTGAAAACCAAATTTATCAGATGACCCCGATTGTGGTCGAAGCAGTAAAAAAAGATACGATACAATTTGGTCAGAGCGTACTCAATCAAAAGGCGATTGATCGTTATCAGGCCAATAATGTTGCGCAATTGCTCGATCATATGCCCAGTGTAGGTTCAGCAGGATCTCCACGTCCAGGAGGGCAAACGATTAATATCTTGGGGATGGGTGGGGTAGCCGATGTACCAATCACCTTAGACGATTCTGTTAAAACGTTTGATAAATATCGACAAGGTTCAGTCTTTATTGAACCTGAGATTTTAAAGAAAATCACCGTGGATAAAGGGCCACATAACGTCGAAGTCGGTAATGGTGGTTTTGGTGGTAAAGTTACACTGGAAACTAAAGATGCGACAGATTTGCTTGATGAGGGTAAAAATATTGGCGCATTCTTAAAATATTCACGTTTTTCCAACAACAGTCAAAATACCTATACGGGTGCAGTATATGGTAAAGCCGACAATGGGCTGGTCGATGGTCTGTTTTACTATACAAACCGAGACAGCGGAAATGTAAAGCGACCTGATGGCAGTGAGTTTTTATATTCTGGACAAGAGCAAGAAACCTATTTAGCCAAACTGAACTTTTATCCTGCCGATGGTCATAAAATTTCTTTAAATGCCATGCGCAGTGGGCATGAAGGTTGGGAACCTTTTGCTGCCATGCGTGATCAAGATGCCGTGCCGACTGAAGCTGATATTGCCAAATATGGTTATGATGAGGCTTGGAAACGCCGTTTGGTCGACCGTGATCAGGAAGATACCAGTTATTCTGCAAGTTATGAATTCAATCCTGATGCTAACCCATATCTAAACTTAAAAGCTGTCGCATCCTATTCCAAGACCTATCAGCATGATTTACGCTTGCCAAGTGTGACGGGTTCAGCGGCACTGTTAGGCAATGAAAGCTGGGTAACCTATACCAATACAGCATTAAAAATGAGTAATATCAGTGATATTGATACAAAACTGGGGACGCATAAATTAAAGATTGGCGCGCAATACCAGAAAATGGAACAAAACTCGCTGATTTATGACAAAAATAATGTGAAAAAGCCTGACTATAATTTTGGTTATTATGAACCGAACTATATGCCTGCTGGTGATCAGCAAATGCTGAGTGCATTTATTGAAGATCAGTATCAGATTAATAATCTCATCATTACCCCATCGCTACGTTATGATCATATTGAAAATAACGGTAAGCCAAATCGTGCATCACGATTTAATGATCCGGCTGCTGGACATGATTATTCCAGTAAAACCTATACAGGCTGGTCTCCTCGTTTAGCGATATCTTGGAAACAGACCGACTACATGACATGGTTTGCTAACGTGAGTAAAACTTGGCGTGCGCCTCGTGTAGATGAACAATATTATGTGCAATCCGCAGCAACCACTGTTCCATCGACCAGTCGTTATTTAGTTCCTGAAAAAATGTTGGCGATTCGTGTCGGAAATGAGATGAATTTTGACGATGTGTTTAGCAATGAAGATCATCTGCAAGTGCGTTTAACTTATCATCATAATCGTGGGGGCGATGAGATATTCCGCAATCGCTCAACATTTTGTCAAGCACAAGCAGAAAACAATGCCAACAACGGATCAGGCAGCGTAGCAGACTGTAAAGGTAATTATGATCATGGTTTTTATCGTAATGTGACTGATTACACCATCAAAGCCTATGAAGCCGAAGCTTTCTATAATCAGCCGACTTGGTTTGCAGGTTTAACCTATTCCTATATTCGCGGGCAACGTGATAATTCCCCTGTAAATCCGTGGTTTGATCAAAAAACATGGATGACCAATATTCCACCGAAAAAAGCCACAGCGACTTTAGGGGTGAATGTGCCTGAGCATCATTTAACCATGGGATGGAGAGGGATATTTGTTGCTGCACAAGATCGAAGCCTTTCAGATAATGATAAATCGATCGCTGCATCTTCATTTTCATTACCTAAAACCAAGGGCTATTCACTGCATAGCGTTTATGCCGACTGGCAGCCAATTGGTACAAAAGGGCCGACGCTGAATTTCTCGATTGATAATTTATTTAATCGTGATTACAAAATGTATTTGGGTGAATATATGACAGGTACAGGTCGAGATTATAAGGTGAGTATTTCGCAGAAATTCTAATAGGTCTGTGTTCAATATTTGACATGACAACATGAGATTGCGAGAAGTCAATTTGATTTAAGGAGTAAGTTTATACAGATTTACTTCATATAAATTAAATCGCTTTTTACATTATTTAATCATACAAGGTGTAGGGATTGCAGGGCGACAGGGATGTCGCCCGTTATATGTGAAAACGCGAGGATATAATACGTACCCCGCGCTCAACAAAAAAACTCTTTATCGTTAGAAACAGCAATCGATTCTAGCCATTGAACAAACTCAAGCTCACGTTCATTCAGTTGAACAGATTTTGGATAGACCAGAAAATAAGAATACTCTTCAAGTGTTTCTTCAAATAATTGAATCAACTCTCCAGATTGTAAAAATGGTCTTTGTAGAAATGGACAACCAAGCATCACGCCTTGATGATTACGTACACTATTTAATCTGACATTGGTATCATCAATATAAATATTATGCTGACCTAAGATCGGCGTATTAAATTTTTTTTGAAACCACTCTGTCCAACTTGAATTACTTTCCTCATGTAGTAAGGTTACATTTCTCAGCTGTTCAAGCGATTCAAAAGGGCCATATTTTTCGAAGTATTCAGCAGAACAAATCGGGGTTAAGTTACCAGGAACCAATTTAACCGTTTCACAATCTGGCCAATCATTTTTACCCCAAACAATTGCAAATTTTATATGATCTCTTTGAAAATCTGGTGGTAATAGATTGTGAATAAGATGAATTTCAATAAGTGGGTGCGTTTTCCAAAAAAGCTCTAACTGTTTAGTCAGCCACATACTTGAAATAAAAGGGCGTAAACTGAGATTAATTCGCATTTTTCCACGCGGTGTACGTGATTCAACCAGTGCATGACTGATCTCTTGAAATGGCTTTTCCAGTTTAAAAAAAAGTAGTTCTCCTTCCTGAGTGAGAATCAAGGTTCTATTTTTACGAAAAAATAATTTATAACCTAGATATTCTTCTAATATTTTAATTTGATGGCTAATCGCCGATGGTGAAACTAATAAATCCTCAGAAGCCTTAGTAAAATTTAGACGTTGGGCTGAAACGATAAACGTTTTTAGCGCGTTTAATAAAGGTAATTGCATCCTGCTCACCTCTAATGATTAAAATAAAAAGTTTTTAATCACCTCAACAAATCAATAAATGATCACCTTATCGTGTTGAATACCTATTTGTTTCCTAATATGTCAGATTCAACAATGATCAAGAAATATGATTGTAACCAAACTTTGTAAGTTTAGACAGTTTCAATCTATATCTAAAAATTTTAATTAAAAATGATTCAAGCTATAAATTCTGAAAACATAATAAGATAGAGCTTATTTTCGTTTTTACTATGAATTTTTTTCAATTTACTTTGAGAATAACTACATTTTTAGAGTGGTCACTGAGTGACATACTCATTATTGCAAAGGAATTTGCATTTGCCATGAATTTGGTTAGCTTAAGGAAAACGCTTATGGATAATATAACTGAAAAAAATATCAGAAAAGATGTGAATGTCGATACAGGACAGAATGGCTCGATTATCGATGAAAGTCCAATGCTAAAGTTTCATTGGAAACTTTTATTTCAATCCGCTGGTGGTCCATTTTTGGATGGTTGGTTATTAAGTATTATTGGTATTGCCTTAGTCGGCATGCAAACGGATTTAAAATTAACCAGTTTTGATTTAAGTCACCGGGGCTTCGGCTCTGATTGGGATTTTCTTTGGTGGATTATTTTTTGGTCGAATCACAGATATTGTAGGACGGCAATTAATGTATACCCTAGACTTAATTGCGCTTGTTGTATTTTCTGTATTATGTGCTTTTGTTGACAGTGCTTGGCAAATTATATTACTTCGATTCATTATTGGGGTGGCAATAGGTGCAGATTATCCAATTGCAACTTCTTTGTTGGCGGAGTGGTTACCTGTTAAAAAACGTGCTGCGATGCTTGGTTTGTTAGTTGTCGCATGGTTTGTGGGAGCGACTGTAGCGACATTTTTAGGTTTTGGGATGGCTGAGTATTTAGGTGATGGGTCTTGGCGCTGGATGCTCGCCACCGCAGCAGTACCCGGCATTATTATTCTGTTAATGCGAATTGGTACACCAGAATCTCCACGATGGTTGTTATCTAAAGGACGTATTGATGAAGCAAAACGGGTGGTTAAGCGGGTATATGGTGCTGAAGCAACGATTGATTCTATTGTTGCAGATGAAGCAAAAATTCAGTTAAAAGCTGGCTTTGGTACATTACTCAAAGGAATTTATTTCAAAAGAATAATTTTTTGTGGAGTATTTTATTTATGTGCTGTGACGCCACTTTTTGCGATTTATACTTTTGGTCCAGTGATTCTAAATGCATTCGGTATACATAGTGGTAATATTTCTAATGTGGGTTATGCGCTGATTAGTTTAGTTTTCTTAATTGGTTGTATACCAGCATTGAGAATGACAGAAACATTTGGACGGCGTCCGTTATTATTGTGGTCATTTTTCCTAATGATTATTCCATTTGTTGCTTTGGGCTTCGCACCAAATGCACATGTTGGATTTATCATTTTTTGGTTCGCAATGTATGCACTGGTTTCGGGAGGACCGAATATTTTGGAGTGGTCATATCCAAACGAGTTATTTCCAACCGATATTCGGGCAACGGCGATGGGTGTGGTGACTGCAATTAGTCGAATAGGTGCTGCAGTTGGAACGTTTTTAATGCCACTGTCGATTGAGCAGTTTGGTGTCGGCCAAACCATGTATTTTATGGCAATTTTGACTGCTATTGGTTTTGTTGTCTCATTCTTACTCGCACCTGAAACAAAAGGAAAATCGTTAGTTGAAGCAAGCTCTTAATCTATAGTTTTTATTTAAAATGCCTAAAAAGCACTCATTTTATGGAGTGCTTTTTTTAGTGTGCGGATCAAGTTTTTTACTTCAAATTTTTCTCAAGTATTCGTCAGTTTTACTCAATTTTCATCACTGTGATTTTCACGCATCATCAAGCTATGGAAGCAAGATTGGTAATGGAGTAGGAAATGAAACAGTTTAAAGAATCACCAATTGATATTGATACTTTTGATCAAAGTTATTTTAATCAAGAATCCGATGTGGTGTATGCCTTACCACCAGAAAGTTTTACTTCGGAAGCATTTTTTCAATTTGAACTGAATGCGGTGTGGAAACGTGATTGGATTTGTGTTGGGCATGTCAGTACGATTGAAAATGTAGGGGATTTTTTTACCTTTGAAATTGGTGATGAATCATTATTTGCGATTCGTACTCGTGATGGTTCAGTGAATGTTCTATCCAATGTCTGCCGTCATCGCAATATGTTGTTGCTTGAAAAATCTGGGAATACCCGCCGTATTCGTTGTCCTTTACATGCCTGGATTTATAACATGGAAGGCGAGTTGGTTTCAGCGCCTGGCTTGACGGATGCAGCAAATGAAGAATTTGATCCTAAGAAAGTATGTCTACCAAAATTAAAATCTGAAATTTGGGAAGGTTTTATTTTTATTAATTTTGATGAAAATGCAACGCCAATTTCTAATCGGTTAGGCAAATTAGCGGTTCAACTTAAAAATTATGATATGGCGAACTTAAAAAGTGCTGAACCGTTAAAGTTAGAAAGTTTTGACTGGAATTGGAAAATTTTCAATGATGAATGTTATCACTGCAGTTATTTACATGCTTCATCTTGGGGAAGTATGTATGCAACGCGTCCAGAACTCGTGGATGAAGATGTAGAGTTTAATGACTTAGAAAATGGCATCGTTTCTTATAATTTAATCAGTGAGCATATAGATGCTGCACCTACTCATACTGGAAAAACTTTACAGCCACATATTGAGACGTTAACAGAACAAGAACGTACTCAATTGACTTATGTAACGATAGCGCCAAATTTATTATTGGTGGCAATGCCTGATAAAGTTAAATATTTCCTATGGTTATCTAAATCAGCAGGCGTGTCGACTTATGGTGTTTCATGGATGTATCCAAAAACCACATTAGCGCTTGAAACTTTCCGTGAAAATTATGACAAAGAACATGATGATTTATTTCCTGTCATGGTAGAGGACTTATTTGCGTGGAAACGTTCTTTTATGGGAATGAAATCATCTACAGCGACACGTGGTCGTTTAACCAACAACGAAAAAGTCATAAAGCGTTTACAAAACTGGTTGATTGATAAATATCGTCTAGAAGATCGTCTTGCAAAAAATCAGTCAGCCAATTTTCTTGAAGTTGTGAATTCATAAGTCGGTTTTTCAAGGAAGAATAAGATGACGCATGAAGCAATAATGAAATTAAAGGTTATTGATAAACAACAACTTTCACCGAGAGTTGTCGGTTTGATATTGGGCTATGAAAATGCAGTTCAGATGTTGCCAGAGTGGGATGCTGGTGCACATATTCAATTAACCTTAAATACGTCAGAGGAGGTGTGTTTTCGTCAATATTCTTTGTGTGGTTTGCGACATGATCTTCAAACTTGGCAAATAGCAATTTTAAAAGAACAAGCTGGTCGTGGAGGTTCTCAATTTATCCATGAACAGCTTCAAGTGGGTGATGTATTGGATGTAGGTGAACCTAAAAATCATTTTTCATTTAAAAAAGATCCACATTGTATTTTTATTGCAGGTGGTATTGGGATCACTCCGATTATTGCGATGGTCCGTGAAGCGGTACAACAAAATTTAGATTGGCATTTAATTTATTTAGCTCAACAGGATTCAGATTTTATTTTTAAACAAGAATTATCTCAGTTAGATCAATCAGACCGAATATATTTTCATTGCTCAGATGAAAAAGGCTTTTTTGATTTAGAACAATATCTAAATCAATTTGATGCCAAAACAACAGTCTATAGCTGTGGCCCTCAGGGTTTATTAGATGCATTAGAAAAATTACAGCAAAAAAGTCAATGGAAATTAGTGATCGAAAGATTTGTAGTAGAGGTTTCTGATGGATTGAAAACAGGTAAAAGTTTCGATATCACGCTACAAAAATCAGGTAAACGCATTCATGTTTTAGAAACAGAAACGATTTTAGATGCACTTAAACGAGAGGGTGTGAAAGTGATTTGTTCTTGTCAATCTGGTACATGCGGTACCTGTGAAACCGTTGTGATATCTGGGATTCCTGAACATCGTGATTTTGTTTTATCAGAAGAAGAACGTGAATTAAATGAAACAATGATGATCTGTGTTTCTCGTGCAATTTCATCAGAATTGGTTTTAGATTTATAAGGAAATTTACATGAATAAGGTTGTTGTTACTGGTGGCTCTGGTCGAGTTGGGCTTTATGTGGTTAGACAACTCATGAAAACAATGCATGTGGTGGTTGCTGATTTAGTTGCACCCCAAAATATAGAAGTTGAATTTATTCAAACCAACGTCATGCATTTAGATGAAGTTCGTCATGCATTAAAAGGGGCAGATGCAGTCATACATTTAGCGGCATTAGATTTTGATTGGAAAGCTGCATCTGAAAAATATATTGATGTCAACGTGCGTGGAACTTGGCATGTATTACAAGTAAGTCAGGAGCAAAATATTGAAAAAGTTGTACTTTGTTCAAGTGTCTCAGCATCTGGTCTATCTGAGATGCGTCCAGACTGGATCCCTCAGTCCTTGCCAGTAGATGAGTTACATCTAAATAAACCTGTCCAAGCCTATAGCGTAAGTAAAATTTTAATGGAACAAATGGCGAAAAGTTTTGTGGATGGTTATCCCAATATGAACGTCATTTGTCTCCGTCCTCTTGCCGTCGTACTCAATGAAACCTTGGCTGAATATATTGATTTTGTTGATGCTGAAGATCGCCATTGGTTGTTTTATTACGTTACAGCAGAAGATGTTGCAACAGCATTTGAAGCTGCTGTAAATATTAAAGGTTTACGTTTTGGCACATTTTATTTAAGTGCGGATGATACGTCACATCCAGAAGATACTTTCACATGGTATCAAAATAAAATTGGAAAATTACCAGAAATTAAAAATCCAAAACTTTATCAAAATTATCCACGTGCATCGATTTTTAGTAATCGGCAGGCAAAAGACATTTTGGGATGGAAGCCTACTTCAGATTTTAATCAATTACGTGAATTAAATAAAAAATAATCTTGGAAATTGTATAAGGAGTTTGAACATGGAAGGTATTAAAGTTGGTCAAATGGAATGGACTGGTGATAATCCGTTTATTTATCTTAAAACCAGTGAAGAACAAAATTGGAGTTCTTTAACTTTATATTTTCGTATTGCCAGTTCAGTACATGGTTCAGGTAAAGCCATCTTAGTGCTTGAGCAACCCTATGAAAGTAACCCAGAACATCAAAATCGCTTTATGTTGACGGATAATCTACCTTTGGCAAAATATTTAGTATCTGATTTTGTTCGTCATTTTGGGCTGTTTCGAAAAGCTATAGCTTTAGATGAAATGAAGTATATCGATCATGTCGATTTTTCAACAGAAAATCGTTTTCCTGAACAAGTCGTTGAATCCGCATATGTAAAATCGATGGATTTACAAGTAGATATGGTTTGGAATAATTTGCAAAATGCAATTTGTGTGGATTTGCCGGCACACTTAACTCAAACCTTAAAACACGAAATGATGTGTGTATTTCATCCCGCATTAACTGCACAAGTTTTAATCAATGGACAGGCTTTGGCAGGGCAAACCATTGAAAGAGATTTTAATGGTACACGTGCTCAATCTGCGAGCTTGGCAAATAGTGAAACTTGGATTCGAGTAAAAGACTAAATAAAAAATATAATATCGGGAGTGCCAAGGATGTCAAATTTTGAAACAAGCGAAATCTATCAAAAAATTAGTACAGTTGAACCAATGTGGAATAAGTTGGTGCGTTTAAAAGATATTTATCCAGAGCAAAAAAAGTTACTGTTACATGCAGGACCTTCTTTTCAAAATTTTCAAGAAATTCCTGAAGCGGTACGAAATTCTTTAGCTATAGCTATTCTTTTTGAGGGCTGGGCTAAAAATAAAGAAGAAGCTTTGATTTTACTTGAACAAGATCAGGTCAAGATTTCACCCGCGCAAGATTTTGATGCGGTCGTACCATTGGCGGGTGTCATTTCACCGTCTATGTATCTGTTACAAATTGAAAATGTACAAAATGCTCAGGATAAAACCTATGCTGTTCTGAATGAGGGAATGCAATGGTGTACCCGTTTAGGGATCTTTGATGAAAAAGTCATTGAACATTTAAATTGGTTACATGGTGAATTTTCAGAATGGTTAACAAAAATAATTTCTTATACTCCAATTCTACTCAGTCCAATTTTACAAAAATCATTAAAGCAGGGCGATGATGGTCATGGTCGGACTTATGCAGGGTCTGGATTAATTGCGGATACAATTCTCGATATTGTAGATAAAAATCAAATTCAAACATCGCAAAAAATATATGATTTTTTATATGGATCTGTCGCGTTTGCACTTAATTTTTGGATGGCTGCCGCGTTATTGATCTTAAAAACAGGACAACTGAGTAAGGATAAGCAACTCATTGTAAAAGCGGGGGGGAATGGGATTCGGTTTGGTTATGCACTGTCTAATCAACCCAAACGATGGATCTGTGTGACTGCACCAGATATTAAAGGAAACAAGGAGGAGATTTATTCTAAACAACAAGCACTTGGAACTCTAGGAGATAGTGCCGTTGTTGATATTTTAGGTTTAGGTGGACAGGCTTTAGATATCGCAAAAATTTCAGCAGAAAATCTTATTGCATTTTTACCCAATGATTTTGCAACACGAATGTATGCGTTTACTTTGATGCCTATCGATTTTTTAGGGCAACGTTTTGGATTGGTGGATTTAG